ATGGGAATGGGAATGGGAATGGGAATTGCAATGCAATGCAATGGAATGCAATGGAATGGAATGGATTCATCAACGAATGAACGGATTAACGGATGAACGAATGAACGAATTAGTGAACGATCGTATGACCAAATGAAGGAAGGAACGAGAGAGTGAAAGAAAGAAAACATGTTCGAATGTGAAAGCAGGGAATGGCATGAAATGGAATGGAATGAAGTCGATGAGTGGAGATGAATGAATGCATGCATGCATGGATGAAAGGACGAATGCATGAGGGACCGAAGGACAGCATGGATGAATGAAGAATGAAGGAATGCATGATATTAATAATGAACGAGTGAAACAGTGAAGGCATGACGGCATAAAACAAGGAAAGCATGAACGCATCAATATCCTGATTCACAGAGCTCAGACCTTAGAGCCCAAAAGTACATCTTGAAATAGTTTTCAACCCTAACCCCGAACCCTTCAGAGCCAGTTGATCAGGACAACGATACTTTATCGAAAGCATGTTCAGAGGAAGCCGTCCTGCAAATGAGGCAATGGCCAACTGTCAGGTTCAACCGGTTTATTTGCATGCGGAGGCTTGGAGTGGCATGTCGTGGCTTTTGCCGACGTCTTCTCAAGCACCCAGAATTTCTGGCTTGGCGGATGTACCACCGGGGGTCACCAACATGGCTGCTCATTTCTCATACCGGCATCACATCGCTTAATGGTCATGTCATATGACCGCGCACCAGATCTAAGTTCAGTACCTGCATCTTTCAGGTGCTACGAATAGCATCTATTTAGATGTCTCGCCAGCCTTTTGAGCGGGATGGATGCACAGAGCTACAAAGACCACTGCCTAATCATCATAGGCACTGGAGGCCCAGCTGATGAGATTCTCGCTCGCAGAAGGCTGTCTGCTGGAGGTCGGCTGCTGCATATTCAAACTCGTGAAGATGACCGCGTCACCACCTTGACCTTGGAAGACCTTGCCAGCTGCTTCCTCTGGCAGCCACCTCAGGCACCGACCTCGGAGTTTGGAAAGCGCTTGGGTCCATCCTTCCGCACCTATTGGAGCAGAACCGGCCCCGACACCGTCGAACTGCTGGATGGCCAGAGGCTACAGATTTTCGTGGTCGAGGGCCAGATGCGACATGTGCGAATTCTGAACCGCAACGGCAGTGTGGGAGCAGAGGCTTCGGGGCACGTCGTCCGGAATCCCGACATGGACCTGGCAAGTAAGCTAGATGTCGATGTTTTCAACCAAGATCTCAAGGCCTCTGGGACGTTCTCCTTTCGGCATGTGCTGCTATCTTCGTTGATACTTCTGCCTTGGCATGTAGCCCGTTGGAGCATCAGTATCCACTATGAGCTGCATGCGCAACCTGATGAGTTTCCATGGTGGCGGGGCACGCTGGCCATGGTCAATGGTGTCGTTTTTTGCTCCTGGGGACTGTTCGAAACTTGGTCCGTCAGCCTTACAGGGGAGAGGCCAACATACCTGACAAACAGTGTTGGAGTTCTCCTGGGCACGGCACTTGGCATTGTGGGAACTCGTGCTCAGGGTGCAGATTACCTTTTGGCCGTGCTGGGCCTCGCAGGCATGTTCCTGGGAGGCCCTACTTTGTTGTATTACCTAACTCAGGACCGCCATCATAGCCGCAAGTTTTTTCCCTGTGCGATGTGGACTCTCGCACTACTGATGGGAACAGCGGGCGGTTGCATCCTCCTCTCCGGCATCGTTGTCCTGTATGGGCTGCTGCTGCAAGAACAGGTGCCGCATGTGGACTAACTATGTTCTCGAAGACTTTATATATCACCTGTCCAGCTTGGGGTTTAGGGCAAGTTTAGGGCCCTTTAGGGTTTAGGGTTTGCTTACTTCCAGGTCGTTATGTGTGCTAAGCGCTCAGCCCTGAAGACCACGGCCAGGTTCTGGTTGCCACCGTTCTTTTGCCGGTCGCCACTGCCGCAGTCGAGATGGGCACGGTGCCCGGGCGCTTTCGGCTCTCGATTTCGTTTGTCTGTGGGGGCTTCATAATTAAGGGGTTTAGGGTTTAGGGTTTAGGGTTTAGGGTTTAGGGTTGCTTCATAATTAAGAGTGAGTGACATTAAGCGGAAAAACCATGGGTAAAGCCTCACCATGTTGGAACTCAGGTGATGTTTACCAAAGTGATGTACAGGCGACTTGTGATTACAAAGCGGCCAGCGGTGCCCGGTGACACCTCCTACTTGCCTCTTCCGTTCATGTTGATCTCGGCCCACTCTTGCTCCGAAGCAGCCCGACTGGTGGCTTCTTTTTCAGGGGCAGTGGCCTCGGGCTCGTTCTCTTGGGTTGGTTCTGCTTGCATCACGCTGGCCATGAACATCTTCGTTCGCTTGGGGTGGAACCGATACCTTGCGTTCCTTTGCCTGAGAAGGATCAGCCCCAGCCTGGCCTCCGAAGTTGCACCAAGTGGCTGGTCCAAGCTGCATGATGACGTAAAGATCTATGCCGGCTACTTCCGCTTCATCGCAGTCGTATCCTTGGTGTGTGCCAGAGCGATCTACTATGAGGACATCTCCTTCCATGGACCCAAGGCTCCCGCCTTCAACTTCTCAGCCGGCTGCTCGATTCTTGTTCTCTTCCTGCTCGAGCTTCTGGAGGACCAGGTCGTGATTCGTGAGCTGTTGCCTATGAGCCCCGTTTCTGCCGAGATGCTGGACACGATGACGGCGCGGAGGACTCCTGATTTCGGGAGGCTGAAGGGTCTTTCAACGTCTTGTTGCCGTACGTAGTAATGGTATTCGATCACCCCCGAGAGTAGTCCTCATCCCCTGAGCGGCTGAGGCGCCGGCTAAGATGTCCCAGGCTCGACTAGGATGTCCCGGGTGCAGGCTTGTCACCATGGAGTGCCGGCCGAACTATGAAGAGACCGAGAGCCCGTGGCGTTTGGAGGAGCTGAATAAGCACGGCGAGCGAAGAGGCTCGGCGTCCATCGTTCCAGGCAAACCTGTGGAATTGCTGGACCAGCGCCATTCACTCGGAGAGAGGAGGTTCTCCTTCCGCTCCAGGTTCCGGCGATGGCTGGGGCAGGAGAGAAAGGTGATCCCAGCTCTTACCCTCCATGGCTTGCGAGAGATGCCTCTCCCTGCACAGCTCTCTGCCATGGCGATCGCTTGCGAAATCACCGTGACATACCTGAATGCTACACTCAGCCCAGGGTTCTCACGAGGCCTTTGCCAGACGCCGCCTGACTTCCAGGAGCTCGTCATGCTCTGGTGGCCAGTCCCGTTGCAGTGTTGACCTCGCGACGCTTGGCGAAGACCAACAGTCAGTCGGCGCTTCCAAGTGGAATCTTTCTTCAGTCTGCTCTGCCAAGCTTCTGCACGAAGTGCATTGTTTTGTTTGCTGGCTCAGCAGCAGCATGTAGAGCTCACATAAGCTGTCGTGTTCCCGAATTTGAGAGATTGCTTATTTTCATGGTGTTTTAGTTTCCACCCTGCATGGTCTTGCAGGGAGGGCGCCTTTCGACGTTTCCACCCCTGCACGGGCTTTTCAGGGGAGCTTTTCGACTGAAGGCTTAGCCGGCCCGGTCTCAAAGCCTCCGTCGACGGAGTCAAGATCGTCCCAGCCCCATGGGCTCTGCAGAACAAGGTTCCGGGCATTCTTGGCGCGGGGGAGTGTGGTTTGCTTTTTCAGTTGTTTACGGGAGTCCTGAGAAGAAGCAAGGGGAAGCAGCTCACGTCAGGGGAGGAAGATTCTGGCCTGGAGTCTGGGAACGGGTTGCCTTCTCCAGGCTTTCCAAGCGAAGGCTTATGGAACTAAAAACTGCTTGCAGCTAGTCCTAGAATCCAGACCCTGGTTTTGATCTTCTGGCAAGCATCTACAGCACATTCATGTGGTTCAGGCATTCGGCCATGCCAAGGCATGTGCAGCAGCTGCGGCCAGAGTAACAGCAATCAGTAAGATTCGATGAATCACCAACACCCACGCCGATACCCTAAGGCCGGCTTGCAGTCAAAAGAAATATATATATATATATATATATATGTATGTATATATATATATATATATATATATTAATAAATTATATATTAATATATATATATATATATATATGTGTATATATTACTACATATATGTATATATATATATATATATATAATGCCTATCGCATCCGCTCCCAGCCTTGAGCTACTCGTCGGCACTTCTGTTTTGTGCTGTTACCATGAACTCCTGCGGTGACGAGGCTCTGCCCTTCAAGTAGCCACCTGGCCTTAAGCCCTAAGCCCGTTTTTGCTGCACATGGTGTGGCAGGACCGTAGGCAGAGAAGTGACTTTCGACAAGGCCTCCCGCGTCTGGATGTTGCTAAACCCTAAACCTCTAAACCGTGGCATCTTCTTCCAGGAGGGAGGCTGAATGTGTTGAAATGAAGCCCCGGCCCGAAATCCAGCAAGGCGACAGGACTCCAGAAATTTAGGGTTTAGGGTTTAGGGTTTCGGTGCATCTCCAAGTGAAGGAAGCGGAGCACAACATAGCTTTGCGTGCGCTTCCGGGTGCAATCTCCGCAGCCATGGCGTATTGGGGCCCGAAAGTTCTCTACTTTGGGGCTGGTTTGTGGTGGTGCTTCGTGCCGATGTATTTCTTCGCATACGACATGGTGAGGCTAATGGGACAAGACAAGCCCACCGGCTTAGAGGTGCTACTCATCAAAGCCTTAGCCATGTACTGTCTCTTCCTGGGAGTTGGCTGCTTCCTGGCTGCGAGAAGCAATAGCTTCATCGCATGTAGTGTGTCCTTATGGACGATGCTGGGGATCTGCGCCTACTTCGCCCTCGTATTCTACCCCTTCGATGTCCGTCTCGCCAACAGTCCTTATTTTGGGACCCCAACCTACTTCGCCATTTGGTTTTCCTGGATCCTGAGCGTTGCGCTTGTTGTGGCAGCCCTTTTTCACGACTACCGCTTGCCAGCAGAAGAAAGCCTCTGCCAATCTGATTGACACGCTGTGCTTTCGGCTTTCGGTTTGCTACGGGCATTGACCGCGTGGCCAGGTCTTGCAGACAGCACGATGATTTCAGGTGAGCCGCTGCACGTCGTACCAACCGGTCTGTCTCCTGGACTTGGAAGCAAGTCGCTTAGAAGCCAGACCATCGAGGAGCATTCAAGAAAAAATGAATGAAGTAGCGTCCGCATACCTGTATGCCTCACCAAAGGAACCGTACATGCTGTTGCTACAAAGTGCTGCATGACTCTGTGGACCCTACAACCCCAGACACTCTGATACTTGTAGGATTTGCAGTTGGAGCCCTAGCAGCTCAGGTCCTCCGAAAGCCCGAAACCCGAAGCCATCATGCACTCCGGGTACGACCCGTGCGCACATGCTTGAAGGAGTGTCTTGGGTTGGCTTCAGACTTCGGCACAGTTGGACTAAGCACTCAAAACCCTGAACCCTCTACCGACATCCGGTCGTGGAGCTCGCATTGCCTGGGTGGCTTCGCCCTTGCCACAGCAAAAAAGCATCAGTAGCCCCACGGGATGCTCTGCAAGGGCCTTTGCATGAAAGGCGAAGAGAGGTACGGTTGATGGACGAAATTCTGCATGACCCAATATAGTATAGCACCATAAATCCCATGGTTTAGGTATATACGGTCATGCAGGATTTTGTCCATCAACCGTATGACCGGCCAAGCGGCTAAGCCCGAAACCCTAAACCGCTGTAAGCCTAACTTGGTCACGACGCGCAGCCGCTTTGCTCGGCTGTGTTTAGCGCAGTCCTCGACCTCCTTTGCAAGGCATCGGCATTTGCTGCGATGATTCAAAGGCATTGCAAGTAAGCAGACACCGCCAAGAACACTCGGTTTAGGGTTTAGGGTTTAGGGTTGGGTTCCCTAAACCCTAAACCCTGTTAGCCTGAAGCTGCCGCAGGTGGGACCATGGCGGCGGCTGATCTAAACCCTCGTCATGCGAACCTATGCAATCAGCTCGACCTGCAGAACTTTGAGGCCTTTTTCAAGCCTCCTTCTTGGGCTGCTCTGCTGCAGAAGGGCTGCTGGCTGAAGTGTAGGATTGTGGGTGGGGCAAGACCGGCAGTGATGCTGTAAAGCTCCTTTGAACAAAAGGACTTCAGTTGGTGGCCGGCCAAGAACGAGTCGTCAGAGCTTGAAGAGGTCTTGAAGCAACTCATACATCTCGCCGAAGTTGCTCGTCTGCAAAGCTTCCGCAGGGGTCTGTATCATGCCATCTACCGACCCATCTTCACCTGCAATGCTGTCTGCCTGCCAAGCCCACCCAAGACCCGCAACCGTAGGTCAAGCAGAAAAACCGTGGTGGCGAAGCTGATTTGCGGCAGAAGCTCCGGGCAATCGACGAAGAGTTGCACGCACTCTACAGCATTGCACGCGGTAGGTGTCTCGGCCCCAAATGCGTGCGGTACTGCACCGAGATCACGATCAGATGTAGGAAGTGCGTGGCACTGTGCAATTGCCACGACAGAAGGCTTCCGTTGCACTTCTGCCAAGGCAAGCTCAGCAGATTTTCACCGAAGCTTCAGCTTTGCTCCAGCGGCTGGGGCACTCCGTGCAGATGCGTTGCAAAACTGGGAGCTCTTGCGAAGAAACCAGCAAAGCCTCGAGCCACAAGCTGGTTCAACTGCTCCCTGGCCAGGAAGATTCTACACCTATTGTTTTGAAAAAACAGTCCTAAATCTCCTATGACCCCTAGCTCCCTGAACCCGAGGCTTCCCAGACCCTGGCCCTGAACTTCCTAAACCCTGAGCCTTACGCCCTGAAACTCAGCCAGAAGCCTGATCTAGGCGAGGCCCCTGGGCTTCGCCCGTTGCTCAGGTCGCAGGAACAGGCGCTCGTGGCGCAGGGCTCAGTTGTCCAGGCTTCATGCTGAAGAGATTTGGAAGAGAAGACTGGAACAGAGCTGGTTGAGAGTTGCGTTGGCGCTGAGGCAGGCTGTCCACACAGCGTCCTGGTTCAAGGCAGATCTGGAACGGGGAAGACCCTGGTTTTGGTTAACAGGTTGCATCAGTCCTTTGTGGACCAGTGCAATGCCGGAAGCTTGCCGGCAAGTCTTTTTGTCACGAAGTCCACGCTGCTGGTGGAAGAGGTGTCACGCCAGCTGCGCGAGAAAGGATGTGACCTTGCCGAGCCGACATGGCCTCCTTCGACGGGGATTTATTGCTTGACCTGGAAGAAGCTGGTGCAGCTGGCTGTCCCCCATGTTCAGGAAGCAGATATCTCATACGAGGTCTTCCATGACGCGTATGTCCCCGACATCAAAGGGGAATGTAAAGTACCAGCCCAGATTCTGTGGGCTGAATTCAACACCACACTGCGGCCGTTTGGCCCTGGCATGGCACTTGGGCTGGGCGACGTCGGGGTCTGGTGCCTGCAGAGGGACGAGTACTTAAAGGACACTGCTGCGAGCAATATGGGGTGTGTCAGAGAGTTAGGCTCAGCAGTGTCCAAAGTTGCAGGAAGAGTCTAGCGCTATGGGAGTTCACTTGGATGAATCGGATCGGATGCAGATATATCGATGCTTCAAACAGTATCCCAGCTGCTAATGGCAAGTCTACCCTGCGAGACACATGAGGCAGTCACCGCAGGCTGTCGAGCGAACCCAGATTTTATCGGATTTCCTAGTCGTGTGGTAATGAAAGCTCTTTTGCCTGCAAGCACCACGAGCACCTGTGCCTCAGATTCTAAGCCAGTTCTCAGGTATTGCAAGCTGAAGAAGCATCGGCAGCAGCTGGATGACACTGACGTGGCTGCGCTGATCGCCAGCTGTCAAGAGCTGCAGGAGGTGTCTTTTGATGCACTCTTCGTGGACGAGGCAGGTCCATGGACGTTTGCGTACGGCTTCTTCTTTTGAATTGTGATGGTGTGTGCCAGTAGAACATGATGTCGATCACCCTGATAGCGACAGCGGCTGCTGCAGCTGATGTTCCTGCTGCTGTCACTGCTACACCGCTCAGTGCCACCATGATCATAAGTGTACTGTCAGTGGTGACGATGACGACGATGGTCACAATGATGACGATGACGATTATGCTGATGGTGCTCCTGTTGGATAGTGATGATGATGAGGGTGATGATGGTGATGATGATGACATGTGCGGCTTACCTTCAACGTTCTGCTTGCTGTCCGTGTACTTCCTCTCTGACAGACTGTCTATCTGATTGGAAGTTGTTTCCCCTCCAATCTGTACTACATACATAACTCTCATCTTTACTGTTACTACGTGTATCTTTTCTACTACAATGATGGCGGCGATGGTGTCGCTTAGGCTGATGCTCATTGTGCAGCGGGTGAGGGCAATGCTGATGTCGTTGTCAATGCCGATGCTGATGTTGACATGCAGGGTGTTCAAGACTGACAAGAAGAAGACTGCAGTAGTGCTGCTTTGGTGTGCATCTCAGCACCATCATCATCATCGTCATCATCATCGTCATCGTCATCGTCATCATCAGGGTGGTGCCAGTAATGACGGTGACGGTGATAGTAGTTGTGATACTGGTTGTCGTAGTAGTGAGCATGAGGAGGTTGTGCTGATGATTTTACTGTTGATAACCTTTGTGGTGATGATGATTATGATGAGGGCGATGGTGTTGTTATTCTTGATGATGGTGCTTGTTGTTGTGATGGTGTTGTTGGCGGTGATAAACACGATGGTAGGCTTGGCCACCATCATAAAAAAGCCACGACGCTCACTGCAATGATAGTGGCTGTGGAGGTGATGACAAGTACGGGTCATGGTGACAAAGATGATGATGGTGACCGGGTTGGCTGCGATCAGTGTGATGTCTATGGGTGTCACGCCTCCTGAATCCTGCAACGAAGGCAAGTTACTTGTCGTATGGTTCTTTGGTTATCACGATGCTTTGTGAGAAGTCAACCTGCGCAAGCTTGCAGGTGCAAGATTTCTCACCTGCCGAGATCTCGTCTTTGCTCCTCCTTTGCAAGAATCCCAATGCTGTCACGATTACGGGCGATACTTGCCAGACCATCAATGCTGGAAGCGCTTTCAACTTCCAGCAGTTGGTCAAGGCTTTCCGGCAGCATCGACTGGGGGCATTGCATCATATGCCCGAAGGTGCAAGAGCATACAGCTGGCTAAGTTGCTGCGACTCCTGGCACAACTGAAGCATAATCTCCTTTGCTTGCCCCCGCTAACCATCTCGTACCCTCACGCTGCGCATCGCTGCGCAGTTGTGAGTCTTGCGTAGCCATGCCCAAGAAGCAAAACCCATGTACCTCAGCTGAGGAGAAGGACCTGCAGAAAGCGACCGAGCAAGCCGGGCTACGGCAAGAGGTCGATCGCAAGCGACGTGCCAGGAAGCTGATAGGAAATGCCTTGATAGAACGAGGTGTCCTGTCACGGGGCGGCCCCTTTAGGCCCAGCATGCGGGACGACTTGGGTGATGCATCTCGACATTTGGCAGAAGCCACGCAGAAGATGAAGGCGGCTGAGGAAGTTCTCCAGAAGCTGCAAACACAATTTCTGGTGATGAGCCTGCGCTTCAACTATCGCTGCAAAGCGGGCATCGCAGCAGCGGCCTCCTCCATTAGCCAGCTGCTCCTCGAAAGGTTCCCGCGCGCTGCGGACTTCATACAAGAAGAGACCACCACGCCGGGGGCGAAGCCCATGTTCGTCCGAATGGCCAGCAGGGACTTCCTCTTCCAGTACATGCTCGGTAGCTAAACGGGCATGTTAGGCATGGCTTCTTCTTGACACCTGTTTCTTCTTTATGTGGTTTTGACGGCTTCGTTCCCGGTGGGAGCAGGCGCCATTCTGCTTGGGGTTTGAGTTGGTCGCAAGCCTAAGGCAGCGGAGCTTCGCAGCTGCCTGTGGTGGATCCCACGTGCATCGCCATGATCGTGCGAAGTGATCGGGTGCGGCTGGAGCTCCGGAAGCGGAAGATCCGGGGTCTCTTCTTGACGCCTGCGGAGGCCAAGGGCCTGGAGTTTGACATGGTGTTCCTGGGCTCAAGCGTTGTGGATTCTGAGGTTGGTTGCGAGTTAGCATCGATCTACCCATATCAGGGTTCATGGTAGCTGCGCCATGAGAACCAGGTTCCTGATCGACTTCTTCTCCAGCGGCTCCAATGATGATGTTTGGGACATTGCTGACAGCACGTCCTCATCCACACAGCTTGCTCAAGCGAACGTCGAGGGAAGAGCGCTCTCAGAAACTGAGAAGCGTCGGCTCTGGGATGTCGCGCTGGCCATACCGGCCGTCTGGCCAATTAAAGTACAGTAACGATACAGTAGAGTATGATACAATGTATTAAATATATGAAACCGCAATTAAATATAGCAAAATACTATCGCATGGCTGCATAACAGAATAGCATGGAATGTTGAGGCCCGCGTTCGCTGCTTTTTGTCAGCCCAGGAGCTGAAAACACTCTACGTGGCGATTTCACGGGCTCGCTCAGCCTGTGTGTTTCTGGAGTGCCACAAGGAAGTCCACAAAGCATCCTATCAACCTTTGCTGCAGAGGCTGCGATCCAACAAATCCGTGCAGACTTTTGTGCGGGTTTTAACATCCGAGATGCCGAGAGTCTTAGGATCTTAGGAAGGTATAGGAGCCCAACGTTTTTTTTTTGAATCCGTTCTCAGCTTTGTATCGTTCCCGGAACTGTTTTGTCCCAGTTTCCTTCAGGTGGCTGGACAGGGATCTCGTTGAGCTGACAGACTTCGAAGCTGCACAGGCCGAGAGTCGATAAGAGAGCGAGAATGAAAGGAGTGGCGGTTCAGCCAGGCCGCTTGCTGCTGCTGATGCTTCGGCTGTGTTTGTTGCTTCTCTTGATGTTGGTGGTGGTTATGATGGTTGCAATGACGGTGGCGATGGAGTTGGTGCTTATCTTGGTGGTGTTGATGACAAGATCGATGGTGCAGATGATGATGCTTTTTTGATGCTGGCGAATTTGCTGACCAACACGTTGTTCGATAATGATGATGGTCCTGAGGGTGCTGGTTGCTGATGATGACGCCGGTGATGTTCGCTCGAGTGCAAGTGAAGTAGCCGCGGCTTCTTCTTCTGCTTCCCTTGCATCCATGTCTGCTACTACCTCGTGCCTTCTTTGCTGCTATGCCGCGACTACCCTCTCATTGCCGTTGCCCCTGCCCTACCGCCGCCGCCCTTGACGACCGCTCCTCCTGCTGGTTTTGCCGTTGCCGCTGTCACAATCACAATCATGATAAGAGTAAGCATCATCCTCGTCACCACCAGCAGCTTCATCATCACTGTCTTCATCGCCATCATCCTTACTGCCATAATCATCTTCTTCGTCATCCTTAGATCCACGTGTTTCTTCTCGTCCGTGCCCTCCTCCTCCTCCTCTTCCTCCTCCATGATGATGATCATCATCATCGCCACCAGCAAGCATCAAAGTCCTTCTTGTCTGCATTTCTGGGTGCAGCTCGAGTCTTTCATAAGGTCGCGTCGAGAGATCCCCTGAAACCACTTTTGTTGCCTCGTTCCGACCGCCTGAGGGCGACGACGTCGCCTCGCAGATTCCGGAGTTGCGGCGGCGTCCTGGGCTTAGGATCCTAAACCCTAAACCCTAAACCCTAAACCCAAAACCCTAAACCGAATGAAAATGCACGGAGCCTTGCCTTGAGCCTCGAGGTTTCAAGTGCGTCTCAACGCAAGAGGACCTCGCCGCCGTGGCTGACTACCGTGATCGTGGCGAGAAGCTCATGAACCATGCGTCGGGAGCTCAGGCCTACGGTGGTCAGTCCAACTTGCGAGGCATTGTTCATCTCTGCTTGAAGTTTGGGGCAGCTGTGCTGTTGATTCGTTGATGTCAAGGCTTGATGACCTTCGCGAGCGGCGTAAGGCGGGAGTTTCAAGCCTTGCTGTCGCAAGCTGACCAAGACCCTGAGCTTTCGACCCCCGAAGCCCTGAGCCCTGAAGCCTCCAGGGTTTAGGATTCAGGGTTTGGGATTTACGGTTTAAGGAGGATTGAGGATGAGTCGGCATGTAGGGTTGAAATCAAACCTGAGAAGCTGCTTTTTCTCGGGGCGAGCTGTCTCCTCAGGTACTGCGCGAGGCATACAACGTTTTCAAGATGGGCTTCCCGGTGTCGGGGGCAAGATTTGGGTTCAGAGTGGGTTGAGCTGATTGAGTTGGAGTGGCAGTTCGTACGAAATGATGCAACATTCGGGGACTTCAAGTTCTTTCACGCGGATGAGCTTGTATATCAGTCTGTACGTATGCTTTCCGGTTGCATCCCTCCCTCAGAGCTGGGCTGCAAACCCGAGGTTCTAACCATGCGAGTCTGTGGCTTCATCGGCAGCTCACGCCTGACATCCTGTGCCGTGCCCTGAAGCTTGCTCGACTCCGCGCACCCCACCCCACAGTCTTCCACTGAGGCATCTGAACCTCCAGCGGCTAGTCACTTCCGCAGCACCCTACGCCCTGAGCCCCCCAAGGTGCCCACTGAGCTGGAAGAATCAGCTGGCGGCTGCTTTGCGAGAGGCCTCGAGGTGTCCCAGCTGGCGCGGGCAGTCTGCCTTGGCTAAGTTGTGCGCGAAGCCCGAGACCGCAGAACTGACACTCGACTGTTCTTTGGTACTGGGGTAGGTACATACTCGCACCATGACCAAGTTGAATATGAGACCTGTTGCGTAGTAGTTACAGCATCCATAATGCCTCTTGTCTCCTGAGCCATAACGAAACGGGATTGCTCAGTCACTGAGCTCAACAACGGCTCAAAGATTTGCGAGGTGACTCCAGGTACTCGTAGCTGGGAGTCAACTTGAAACTTTAAACAACTTTACGTATGAAGCCCGGGCTTAGGTTTGAAGTAAGCGAGCACAAGTCCACAACGCAACGTGACGGTAAGTTGCTTCTTCCCAGGATTTGGCGGCGGATTGCCTCCTTCCTGGCGCCCGAGTCAGAGCAGTGTGGAGTGGATGTGGCACTGCACCATATGGTGGAGTGCTGCAAGGAACACGGCAAGCAAGTGACGCCTGGCTTCGAGAGATCACAATCCGAAAGCCATTCTAATCGGAAGCATTTGGACCCTGAGCCCGAAGAGTCCAAGTCTTCAAAGCTACCGGATGCTCTTGGGCTTGAGATTTGAAGTTTAAGTCACTGGCCAACTCCTACAATATACTTTGCCCAAGCTGCTTCCCTAAACCCTACACCCTAAACCCTTAAAAAGTTTCTAAGGAGACGACTGCAGAAGTGTCTGGCAAAGGCACACGCCCACATCTACGTCATCGCTCCGCAGTATGACACTGAGCAACAAGGCCGTTATCGGCAGAAGTTCGAGGCGCTCGGTGCCGTCTTTGAGCAGAGGGCAAAGTCGTTGAAGGAGTATGAGAAAGCCAAGAAGGCAGGGTTCTTGAAGTGCCTCCAGCATGCTGGCATCCCATAAAACCCGAAAGCATAAACCCTAAACGCTTTGGTCTTCACCGACAGATTGGCAAGTACCGGCTATCTCAGCAGGCCGCTGCTGTGGCGAGGCTTCGCCGGAAAGTGTTACCCTCTCTCATCCGGCTCATAGAAGCTGGCATGCCAAAGCTGGCGAATGAGCGCAACGATTCTAAGCGCATGCTCGACGCTCAGAAAAAGGAAGAGGCAAAACTTACGGATGAAACAGAGACGGTCAAACAACGGATGCTTGAGCTCTCAAGAAGTCGCTCGACCATTGTTTTATGATCTTCGGGTGGTTTCTTCCGCTTCGGGCCATAAGCTCCCCCTAGGATTGAAACCAGGGGCAAGCCCCAAAGCCCGATGCAGGCTCTAGACGACTGCATGTTTTGACTTCCCAAGGGTATCAGTTGCCAGTCAGCAGAGAGCTCGAGGAGGCAGCTGCTCGCTTTCGGAAGTGGGACCAGAAACTAGCCACAAAGGACCCAGGCGCCAAGCTTCAATCGGTTTGCTTGATGGCATCCCTCATGTACTTCAGCATTCCTGAACCCTAAACCCTCGGCCCCCGACCACCGACAGCCGTAAACCCTGGGAGGTGCTGGTTTGTGGTTGGAAGAAGTCAGGAGAAACTCAGAAGGTCAAGAGCTGACTTGGTCCACTCTGTTGTCTAAGCACCTTGGCCACGACTAGCGTGCAGAAGACAACAATTGTTAAACAAGCCCCAAATCGTGAATGGTGTTGATAGAGTGTGTGAGAGCGAATGGGAATGAGTCTGAGAATGAGAGACAGACAGAGAGAGAGAGAGAGAGAGAGAGAGTGAGTGAGTGTTCCGTCCAAGCCAACCTTATCACAGTCCCTTCAAAGCCCCATAACACATGGGGGACCCATGTGGCCGAGGGACCTAACCAGTCCCTTATGTCCGGTGGAAGAAGAAGAAGAAGAGAGAGAGAGAGAGAGAGAGAGAGAGAGAAAGAGAGAGTGGGATAGAGCGACAGAGAGAGAGGGATGGAGATAGAGAGAGAGAGATCCAGCCAGATAGACCTGGACAGCACAGCGCGACTCGTCGTGCAGGGGCGTGGGGGGAGAGGTGACCGCTCCCTTCAAGCGCAGTAGAAGAAATACGAGAGGGTAAGACCGGGTAAGACAAAGAGCGAGAGAGAGAGAGACAGCGAGAGATCTTGTGGAGGTTCCACGAATGGGAGTCAATCAGCTCTTGCAGACGTCGGTGGAGCAAGCTTGTTCAAGTGGACAAAACGGCCTACCGCATCCACCAGCTTCCTGAATCGGAGATGAAGTCTCTCGAAGAAGAGAGCCTTTTTGAACAGACCTGCAGACGCCGAGTGGAAAAAAGAAATGGGAAGTTTGAAGAGGAGGAAGAATGGCTTTGCCCACAGGGTCGTTGCCTCGGCTGCGCTGCATGTAGCACGCTGCAAGCCACCATAAACACCCAAGCTTCCTAAAGCCTGACACTTCTGACAACCCAAGCCGCAAAACCTCAAAACCTGCAACCCAGGTCAAGAAAGCAACATGGAAGCTTGGAGGCCAGATTTGCGAGTCGACCCTCAAAGCGGAGAGGAGATGTCCTTCAAGCAGGTGTTGGGGAAGCGACTGGGCTGCGCATCGTCGCGTGCTGCGTGTGTAGCTGGCCTTTATTCACGTTTGTCTTCGCCCAAGGTACGGGGAAGATTTTTCCAAGAAGCAGTGCACGTCCTACTGGTTCTCGAAGATGAAGCAGATTCCTCCGGGACAGGCGCTAAGCGATTCTCGGCCGGGACAGCCGAGAGACCGTGTGGAGAAGTTCTCGGGCGATCACCTGGAGATCGTTCGCAGAGAAGTCGCGACTTTGGAGCGCTCGCACGGCCGTCCTGACAGGTGGACGGTTGTCAAAATATCCGTTCCGCTTCTGAGCTCGTCAGTACATTACCTGCAACATCATGTAAGATCTGGTCAAGGGTCGTGAGGTTTCAAGAGCAAACCGTCGTCCCCGAATTTAGGACAGTCCTGTTTCCGGAGAGAGGCCTGCTTTGAGACAACCTGTAATTCCTGAGCTCTGATACCCCAAACCTTAAATCCTAAACCCTAAATCCTAAACCCTAAACCCTAAAACCCTGCAGGTTGTGGTTTCCTGATGGCACTGTATGGACATTGTTGGATGCAGAGGAGTCAGAGCGGCTTCTGACGCAGTCCCAAGAGGTCCTCGACAACTGCTGCGCTTTGAGCCAGAGCCTAGGAGCTAGGATTCATTTTCGGGGTCGAGGGTTTTGGCTGGAGCCGTCCGTCTAAGGGTTGATCCGGGTGAAAGCTCCTCTTGAGAGTTTTTTCGCCCTCATGCCTCCCTCCCCCAGAACCCGAACCTAACAGCCGAACCCTTTATGTCTGAAGCCTCGAGTACTTTAACCCCTAAGCCAAATCCTAAACCCCCTAAACCCCAAGCCTTAAAACCGTCCCAGGAAGATCGAGGAGTCAGAGAAGGCATTGCGCCGGGCCCAGGAAAGCCCGGTTCCAAGTCTGGTTGTTTCTTGCAGTGGAGGGCGTAGGGTTCGGGGCGAGGGGTTATGGGTTTAGGGTTTGGGAGTGACGGTCCCTTGCAGCGGTATCGTTCATCAGATGGGAGTGTTGTCCCCTAGACGTCGTCAGTGGTCATCACGACTGCAAAAAGCAATTAAAGGTGCCTTCGATCATGAAACGGTCGATCATCATCATCACCATCGCCATTGACATGGCCATCACCATCACCATCGCCATCGCCACCATCACCACCATCACCACCATCACCATCATCACCATCATCACCATCATCACCATCATCACCATCAGCACCATCAGCCTCGTCAGCCTCGTCAGCCTCGTCAGCCTCGTCAGCCTCATCATCATCATCATCATCATCATCATTATCATCACAAGGACGTCGTTTGCTGTCAACCCAGGCACCAAGCGACAGAAAGAGCATTTCGAGAGGAGGAAGAAGCGGCTCCAAGAATGGAAGGAGCGCCTGCAGCGCCTTCAGTCCTACTGGGACGAGAACCCGAACGTCCACAAAGACGCGATGCAAAAGCTGAGGACGAGGTTCCGCCAGCTGACGCCATCCGTCACTGAGGTGGTTGGGAAGTTCGAAGCCCTAACAAAAATAAGCGACCACCGGGTGGAGGCCTACGAGAGTGCAGCCCGAGGATTCCTTGCGTCCGGTGAATTTCAGAAGGCGGCCGAGGCATTCTGCCGGGGAGCAGCGAGCTGCAAAGATGCCCTTGATGCGGTCGATGGTGGATCCATAGCACAGGATGGGCTTTGTGCCGAGTTCGTGTATTTGTGGAGTAAGAGTGCTCCTCGGCGGCTTGTTCTGGCCGCGTGGCTGCAAGTTGGCAAATCTTGAAAGTGAACAGATTGTGTCTGTGTGTGCTGATTCAGCACAGATCATCGTGTTGTAACAAGTGACTGAATAAACTGTGCCATCATAACGAACGATTGAGTTGGAAAGGCCTGTCAGCGTAGAGATCGCACTGGGTACTGTACGAGCTTGCATGTCAGCCCTAAACTTCCTAAACCGCCACCCTAAATCCTCAGCCATGCTACTCAGGCAAAGAAGGTTTCGCTCCTCTCACATGCGGGCCGCTGTTGGAAGCTCTTCTGCACAGACTTCCAGGGCTCGGCATTTCGACACGCGCCGTGGGTCCAGTTCGGATGTTCTGCAAAAGGGAGTTCAGGGTTCTTGAAGGATTTGGAAAGGGCTCGCGATTGTGCGACCTCAGACGATAGCCACGGAAGGTCCTGCAAGGCCATCCGCGAGCTTGACACCTCTCAAGCGGAAGAAGCCGTGGTCAAAGCCCGGGAGGCCTTCCAGCTTGCAGGCCCCGGCACTGAACGCTGAGAGTTTGCTTGCTTCGCTTGTTTCAGTTACTAAGTCCCATGATCCTCCAAGTAAGACTTCTTCTGCGGCAGGTCAGAGTAAGGAAGCCGACGTTTCTTGTCAGCACGTGGTGCATCTACGGTCTTCGTCCCTGGTTGCTGCAGCCAAGCCGAGGCGTGCGAAGGGTGGCTTCGCACTTCGCTGCATCTGCCTGAATCCTGAAGTCAAACTTGGATGTAAAGTTTGTACAGAGGATCCTGGGCAGGTCTGCAGAATCATCGCGAAGCTGAGTATGAAGTGACTTATTGTCGGAGTTTTGGCATACAAGCGAACTCATACACAGAGGTAAGATTAAGATTCCTGAAACCCGCTTGTGGAAGCAAGCACGTCTTCAGTCTGTGGTGCTGTAGTGCGGCGCTTGGCGAGCCGCTTGTCATTTTGCGTGGCTCCAAGATGCGCAGTCCTGACGGAAGTCGGATTATACCCCAGCCGGGGATGCACGCCTTCTGTGCATTCTGCTCGGCTCAGCCCCTTTCCATCGGACCTGCCGGGACCTTCACACCCTTGTGGGGGATCCTCCTTTCCTCCAGAAATCAGAGCTTGCGGGGCGCGCCGTAGTCCGCGAAGGCGGTCCAAGTGTTTTCTTTGTCATCATTTTTAAGAGTGGCAGAGCCAGCCAAAAGTGTTATCGGACTGGAGCTGTGACATTTGCACCCTTACGACCATGCTCGCAACTTGTGTTCGATCTTGCAAGCAGCTGTGTGGCCCAAGAAGATATGATGCCCAGGGTCGACCCAGATGACAGTGACAGTGAGAAGGAAGGAGGCTTAAAAAGTCTTCTTTGTCGAGCGCGAGAGCAGAGAGAGCTGCTGGAGATCACCGGCAGAGTGGACAAGGACCCGACCTGACAGTTGCTTGCCGGAGGAAACAGGATTTTGGATTAAGGGCATACTCGCTTCAGTTCAGACGAGAGCTTACTTAGTCCATCTGGAGTCCATCTTAGTCCTCTCGACTTCACCCACGTCTCTTGATGGACGGCACAAAGCGGAAGCTTGCCCACAGTTTCTGAAAAAACTGCGATTGAAGCGAGAAGGCATTGGGTCCTGATGTCAATGAACGGTTCCTGCATGTTCCTGCTGAATCGGTATCCGAAACGAGGGATCCTCCTTCAGAGCAACGTTCCGCGAGGAAGTGCGGTTGACGTTCGCGTATCTTGGTGATCTCTTCGACGTCCGGCCTGAGGCCTGTGACGATGTCGGCGGAGCGCGACATGGAGACGTCGTTCTCACCGAAAAAGGACCGTGGTCTCTTCGGAAATGCCCATGCAAGTCTCGCTTGGGTGGCTGTCAGGACAAGTTGCCACGGTGGTCGGCGTGAAGGACGAGTCTGGGGAGCTTCGCTTGCTCCCTGTCCTTGTTTAGATCGGTTTGCGACCTTTCTTGGATGCTCTTTTGGGGTTTAGGGGAAGGTAGCTATGGTAATAAACCCTGAACCAGCCCTGGGAAGTCTAAACCTGAAGCTGCTGCAGGTGGTACCACGTCGAGGGATCCAGCACAACTGCCGCGGCCGGGGCTGGCGAGCAGTTTCCGGGCAGCTTTTTTGGTGTTGTAAGGCGTACACGAATCCTAGAGGTCCTAGACCCTAAAGCCTTAAACGCTAAACCCTCATCCCTTCACCAAGGGAGTCGAAAAGAGGGTTTTGGGTTCAATAAAACAGAACTCCTGAGGGAACGCGGTGTAAGACTTGGGGCCTTTGGAGTGAGGGAAGGTTGTTGTTGAAAGAGGCGCGAGCGCTTTAGGGCCGCAGGTCTGGAGGGAAGGTTGAGGAATTAAGGTAATACAGGGGCCTTAATAATTAGAATAGGGCTTTGGGGCCCATTATACTATAGTTATAATGAGGAATCTCCAAAATAATATAGGTAATTATTAAGGCCCCTTTTTTGGGTGCTCGAATCCCTGAGCCCCCGCTTCTTGGCGACCTTCAGGCTTCGTCCGGTGACCCGGATGACTCTGCCACTTGCTCCCAGCCGCTTGTGCGAGTGGCTAGAGCAGAGCTTCAAGTTCAAGAGCCTTAGACTGCAAATCATGCCGGTTTGAAACACAGGGGGGGGGGGGGGGTCATGAGCTGATATGCGATGTGTGCTGCACTTTAGTTTGCTTCTACAGAATCCTGTTGCTGTGGCATCTGGCATCTGTCAAAGCCATCGCTCCCAGTCCCGGGAGCCCATCCCTTTGCCTCACGGACGAAGCAAAGCGGAATGCCCCGACGTTTATGAAAAGCCCGAGGCAGATGCTCCGCAATCAGCTGGTCCTCGGCCTCTTCGACGTGCGCGACGAAGTGTGCCTGAAGGTCGACAAGTTCATGCATGGCCAGGTCATTGAAAATGCTTATGGTGATTCCTACACCGTGGTCGGTGTTCAGAAAGACTTCGAGGACGGCCGAGTGGGCTTGTGGGCGCAGAAGGATGGCGAGGATTTTGCCCGGCTTCTGCCCTGGAAGCCTTCCGAGATGTGGTGCAGCAGGTGCAAGGTTCAGCTTTCGCAGGTCGAGTGCCTCACGGCCCCGGCGAAGTTAGAAAAGGTGTTTACCTATCCGGCCGGGGAGGAGGAGGGGCGGCCGGAGATGTTTGATGTCAGCATCGTTGCAGTTGGCCACTTCGGGTGCAAGCACGGGGACATGGTGCTGACCGATCGAAGCAAGGTGGCCACAGTTATCGGAGTAAAGGAATGCGACGGAGAGCCGTGGCTTTGGTGCCATGTGGAGGGTAACGAGGGTGCTGTGCCTGTTCGCAAGCAGCAGCTCAGAAAGCTCGAGCAGGACTGCAGAGTCCCAGCCGGTGGACATGCAGACGGGCGCTCGCCCAGCGAACATGCACGTTGGTTGCACGAGTCGTTCCGGCACGCCTGCAGCCTCCACGACCCCACGAAATTTGCGCATTTTGACATTCGTGATGAGATCTCAAAGCTGCTGGGAGGCTTCCGACATGGTGAGATGGTTTGTGCTCCGGATGGTAGGCGGTTCGTGGTCGTCGGCGTTCACCAATCGCCGGACGACGGCTCTGTCGCGCTCTGGTTTCGCCCCGCTACCTCAAGCGGCGCCGGTATCTTCCAGCGGCACGACCTGGAGGCCCTCAGACTCTGCGGGACCATGCATGTACCGGAGGCGCTGCCAGTGGGCGCCTTGGTAAGGCTGTCACTTCCGGTTGTTGACGAAGACGACCGAGCTGGGCCGCTCAAGGCCCACGACGTCACACTGCTGAGGGAGAATGATGGCACGGATCGGCCATATCGGGTGTTTCACCGTGGTGTGGAACACTGGTACATGGCGGAATCCCTGGCCTTGGCAGTGGATGCATCGACGGCCCAGCAGTCTCATCAAGGCATTCCGCCGAAAGCACGTGCGGCAGAGCGTCCTTCGCAGACTGCACCTCACACAAAAGCCGATGCCCGGTGACTTGTCTGCAGCGATCTTCCCTTGAGCTCAGAGTTGCGCAAGCTGCAAATGCACGTGTGAGGCTTGCGAACCTCGAGGCCAAGCAGGCGATGTCAGAAGCCGAGAACCAACGGCTGAAGGCTGAGCTTGCCCAGCTACAAGGCCGGAATCGCTTGCTGAGCGCACTCCGTGTGCCCGTGTTCACGAACAGCTGTCTGGTTCTACAGGAAAGCTAAAGGCAGCCTCGCAGAAGAGCGAAAAGGCAGCGCGGGCAAAGCAGCAGCTTGAGGACCAGCTCCGCGCTCTCAAGTCCACAAAGGAGAAGGCGCACGGCGATCTGGTGCGGGAGAGGGCATCCCTGTCCCAGAAAGAGGAGCAGATACAGCAGCGGGCACAGGAAGTTCTAGGCAGGCAAAGCGCATTGTCCAAGAAAGCCGAAGAGATCCAAGAGCAAGAGACGGCATTGGAGGAAAAGAAGCGGAGTTTGGAGAGCGACCTAACCGCCCTGCGACAGCGGCACCGAGACCTTCAGTTACAAAGGAGCCAACTTGAGGGGGGCTTGGAACAGCTTGAAAGCGAAAGGTCCGCGAAGCAAGAAGCAGTTCGAAAGCTGCAGCAGAGGCCGTGTATGGGAAGCCACAAGAGAAAGCTTAAATGTCACGAGCATTGCCAGCAATTGGTTGTATGTCATGTGTCACGAAAGCAAGTGCCGAAAAAATTTCAACAAAGTACTCCCTGTCAGGCAATCAAACCTCGAGGAGATACTGCGAGAGAAGGAAGTCGTGCTGGCACAGGCTCTTGCGTGTTCATTTTTACCGTGGAGCGGTGAAATTGTGAAGCCTAAACTAGACCCTGAACTAAACCCTGAACCACCCTGAACACAAAGCCCTGGGCCAAACCCTAAACCTAAAACCCTACTGTAGCCTTTGCCAAGTCCGGCATGCATTGTTCTGGGAGGTGCAAGCTCAGGAAGTCCCCACCATCCATGGCGATTATCAGATGCTCGGCTGATTTTGGTAAACGGTGCTAGGCTCCAGCAGTCATTGCTGCTGCTGCTGCTGCTGCTGCTGCTGCTGCTACTGCTACTAGTATTCCAACTACTACCACTACTACCACTACTACTACTACTACTACTACTACTACTACTATCACTACTGGCTTTACTATTACTACTACTAGTAGCAGTTCAGGTGGAAGTTTGAGAACGACCAGGGCCAGCCTGTGGCAAGCTTAGTCGCAGCATCCGAGCCAGGGCTTCTGAGGGGTTTAGGGTTTAGGGTTTAGGGTTTAGGGTTTATGAGGCCAAAAGGAGACAGAGCTTGTTGGCGATTCGGTGACTCCGACTATAAAGTTCTTGGGATAAGGACTACGCTATGCAGCCTACAGTATGCTTTACCGTGTAGACTTCAGGTGGCCCGCATGTCAGGTTGAAGGCTATGGTGTATGCCTCCCTAAACCCTAAGCCCCTAAACCCTAAACCTTAAACCCTACTGGGGGCAGTCCCGCATCAACGTGACTTGGGGCCGATTCTTTCTCACGTCAAAACCGTCTGCAAAGTTGTCGAAGCTTCTTGATCGAACCAAGAACATCGTGCAAAATGCATCGCAAATGATGGCAAGGGCATGGACTACCAGCTGTGTCCCTAACGTCAAAGTCTCATCAAAAGCAACATCAAAGCTGCCCATAAGTTCTGATAGTATTGGCGACAAGACTACCGCGAGTACGACTGGTACAGCGATGAGCCCAGATTTTCATAGTTTCAGTGTCTGTCGTATCAGAACGTAACCGGCGGGCATCGGGTTCTGAAGCCTGTGACAACATTGAAAGTACCGTGAACAGCACTAGCATTGTTCGTACAAAAAACTATCATAGCACGTAAAGATCGTTCGACTGTGTTGCGTCTCTGTGATGATTATGGCCTGCTGTGGCTTAGGTGTGCTTCGGCCAGGAAGACAACCTCGCTGCCATGATGGCTTACCGGGCGGGGCATTCGAGCGTGGTTATCTCTTCGGGCCGGGTGCTGAATTTTGAACGGAGAGTGCAAACGAGCTCTGCTGGCAGAGCCCGCAAGATCTCGTGCTCCTTTGGAATCCCGTCGCACTGGTCTGTTTCAAACGAGGAGATGCTCAAGCGGCAGCGCCGTTCCGCATCTTCCGCCGGACTTGTGTCCGGTAGCTTTGAGGAAGTCGCCGTGGAGGTCAGAGACATGGACAAGCTGAAGCAATTCAGCGACCTGCTAACAGCCTCAGCATCACACCATCACAGTAATCCAAACCAGCCTTCCTGTTCTCGAGATTGCAAGACCAGCTTCCAGGTGAAGCAGGCCTTCCAGATTCAGAACGTTTGGTTACTTCAGAAGTTTATGGATTACACAAGGCAGCTGCAACAGCGGCATGCGCAGCAGTGTGTCGCGGTGCAGCCGGTAGATCCACCGCTCGGCGTGGAGCTGTGCGATTTTCATTCATCTATGCTGACTCCGGGGAGTGCTGGCTACAACGAGTGCCTCTTGTTCCATGGTACATTCCTCGACACAGCCAAGGACATAGCCCGCGAAGGTTTTGATTTCAGAGTCGCGAATGAAGGCGGCTATTATGGCAGGGGAACGTACTTCGCGAGCCAAGCTTGCAAGAGTCATCAATACACGGACAGGAACAGCATCTCCCTCAACTGTATCATCATCGCGCGTGTCCTGCTTGGAAATCCAAACTATGCAACCAGATGCCGCACTCGATTCAACCGTCCGCCAGGAGGAAGGGATTCAGTCATTGCTCGCCCGGGAGACATGGGCGGGCATCACTCTGGTTGGCAAACGCACATGGAGTTTGTTGTTTTCGAGAATTCCGCAGCCTATCCCGAATACGTCTTGCTCTATGAGTGAGACTTGAGCGCTCGTAGGAGCCAGTCCTGATGCCGCTGTCTGGCTAAGCCAGCCAGACAGTGCTTGCAGTCATGATGGCCCGCCTTATACACTTCCCCCTAGAGCATGTCATAGACATGCAAAAGGCCCGTGGATGCAAGATATAGGTCCACGGGTTCGGAATGACAGAGCTTTTCGCTTAGAGCAAATGCCGCATTGCCGTTGTCCTCATTAACGTAGCCACTCCTGATCAAGCGCGAGCCCTACAGTCATTGAAGCCCCCGGAGTGCTGAAAGCACCCTAGCCTTTAGAAGTCTTCATGGCTTCATGGCCAAGGACAATAAAGATAGTGCTCCTAAGAACAAAAGGAATCAAGTGATCATGATAAGAAGACTAACAAAAAATAACCGTAGAGAAGGTAGCCGGCACCTGCAGCCCTCCCCTGCAACGGTATCGGCCGGGTCCTGGGCCCGGACTGAACTCAATCGCAGTCGCAGGGCTTGGGTTCCGATAGCTTTGTTTTGGAGCAGAGGAGCAGCGAAATGAGGGTTTAGGGTTTAGGGTTTAGAAACGACAGACACGCACATGAGTTGGAGGCCCAAGCTTTATCTCGTCAGTGATGCCACGTTTCTCAAAGCCCTGCGGTTGTGCAAACACAAGGCGCGACCCCAAGCAAGTATTCGTGCATCATCACATCCGAAATCTTCGAACAAGTGCGATTAAATGATTATTGTTTTTGCGCACCGTCCGTCCGCCATGGTGCGCTCGAGATGACGACGCGCTCGTGCCAAGGTGGCTCGGAATGCACACGAGCCCAAACCCTGGGCCGATCAGAAAACGCTTGAACCCTACATCCTAAAGTCTGAAGCCCTGAGCTCTAAACAGATCTGAAACCCAAAAATAAAACCACCGTTCAGCTTCTCGGTCCGGCCCACCCGAAACGTGGAAGCCTTGTCGTGTTGCTGCTCAGCTTGGCACAGAGTGGGTAGGGCCGAGGGGTCTTTTTTGAGCCCTTGCCGCGATGCCTTCCGCCCGGCGCTTACCGAAGCGGCTCTTCGGGGCCCGGAAGAGCGGCCTTGGGGCGGCGCTGGCGTCGTTGTTCCTGGCTCTGGCGACTTCGAGGGCCCTCTCCGAGGCTTTCACGGCCGGGGCCAGGGCCTCCAGCGCCGCGAGGGCCGGGAGATGGCCCGCAATGCTTGCGGAGACCCAGGTGGCGGAGAGACCCGCCACGAAGGTTAAAGCAGCTGAGGTGGAGGAAGAGAATCCGAGGAAGCATGGGCTGGCATTGATGCTTGACGAAGGCACACGTAAGAGCCACAGCATGGCTGAGAACACTCAGTTCGTGACGGGCTTCTTCAAAGGCCTGGGGAACCGTGACTCCTTCGCGCAGCTGGTGACATCGCTCTACTTTATCTACCAGGCCATGGAAGAGTCGTTTCAGACCTCTGCAGATGCCGGCGTTCGGCATTTAGACTTCCAGGAGCTGCGACGCGTCGCGGCGATCGAGGAGGACTCTTCCCGGTGCTAGAGCAGCTCCATAACTAGACCTTTCTGTTCGGAGCTTCAAAATCGCTGTAGACATATTCCCAAAGCTCTGCTTGGGTTTTCCTTCAACCCATAAATAATCCCTAAAGCTTAAATCCATGAGGACCTAGCCTATTTTTACGGCCCCAGCTGGCGTGAGCAGCTTCGACCCTCTCCGGCGGCAGAGCGCTACTGCGAGCGCATTCGCGAGGTCGCCGCCGAGACTCCGCAGCTTCTGATCGCCCACCAGTACACAAGGCACCGGGGAGGGGTTAGGGTTTAGGGTTTAGGGTTTAGGATTTAGGGTTTTAGGGTTTAGGGTTTAGGGTTTAGGGTCTAGGGTTTAGGGTTTAGTTTCGGAAGGGCTTAGGGGAAAAACGAGTTTTGGGCTTGGCCTTGGGGCTTTAAGGCTGTGGGGATTTGCAGGGTTCAGGATTTTGGGGTTTAGGACTTGTCGTCGTGTGTAGGGCTTCTTGTCTGCAAGGTGCCTGGGTGACTTGTTCGGTGGCCCTAAACCCTAAACCCTGAACCCTAAACTCTAAACCCTAAACCCTGAACCCTAAACCCTAAATCCTAAACCCTAAATCCTAAACCCGAGGTACCTGGGTGATTTGTTCGGCGGCCAGATGATGGGTGGCATGGCTGAGAGCTCCCTGGGCCTGGAAGATGGCAAGGGCACCTCATTCTACCGCTTTCCCCAGATTCCGGATACGAACCTGGGCTTCATTCAGTTGAAGTTACCACAAGTAAGGAGGCATGCAACCCTAAACCCTAAACCCCAAACCCTATAACCCCAAACCCTATAACCCTAAACCCTGAACCCTAAACCCCCATGATGGTAGCTGAAACGGAGTGCCGGAGCCAAAAATCCCAGGAAAGCCTTCATCACCGAGTGGTACCGGGAGCTCAACAGCTTGCCGCTGAGCCCGGAGGAGAAGGAGGCCATCGTCGAGGAGGCCAACCTGGTGTTCAGGCTCCAGGGGGACGACACAAAACGGAGTTTCCCTAAACCCTAGTTCTAGAAACTTCAGGGTTTTGGGTTAGGGTTCAGGGCCAACATAAACGGGAGTTCCAGAAACTGAGGGGAACTCCGATGTCGACCCATATGCTGACCCCCCAAATTTTCGGAACTTTGTGACAAGAACCATCAAGAACCCCTGAAACCCAAACCTTAAAACTCTATACCCCAAACCCCTAAACCTTAAACCCCCGAAGCCCAAAACCCCAAACCCCTAAACTCCTAAACCCAAAGCCCTTAGGGTAAGAGTAGAAGCCCTCTAGAGGCTCAACATCGACATCTTGGAGGAGCTCGATGGATCGCCTCTTGCAGCGGCCTGGCAGCTGGTGGCCTCCTTCTTCCGAACCAAGCTGGGCTTGGCATAATATAGGAGCCTGACTTGATAGAAATATTACGAGCCCGGAGCCCTTAGATGATTGCAGTGCAACAGACCCCAAGCCTATTCCAATTATTACGGCTCCTGTACTGGGCACTCGCACCAGTCATGCTTGTTCTTCGAGGCTCCATTTGTACAGTCCACGCAAACACCAACGTCGGTCTTGCGAAATACTGCGCAGGACCTTACTGGTGCTTTGCGTGACGATTTCGCGTGAAATTTTCGGGCGAAACGGCCCCTGCTTTTCTGCAGCAGGCTGTTGTCAGCGATTTTCTTGCTGCAGAGAGTGTTGAGATCTCCTGATTCGGGCATCAGCGGCCCAAAATGTCATGGAACTTGCTCCATGGAGTTCCGAGATCCCAACCTTCCTGAGAGCGGCACGGCTACAAGCAGTCAGCAGCAAGGGGCACATCCAGTTAGCAGTACAGTCAGTACACTGGCATATCAGCGTCTGAGGATTGTGAACGTCAAAAATCGTCATTCTAATTTCGTGCACTGTTGTTGCTATGTACTTCTGTGTCGTTTGTATCGGTGATACTCCTGCAGTACACTCGCCACATTGAGTTGGATCGCTGGACTGTTGGGTTGAAGGTGTTTGGGGTGCAAGCTGCTCCGGGTCTTCATAAAGCAACTGCGCAAGCACCAATCTTGTAAACCAAAAACATTCACCCCTTATCTAAACCCTTCGCCGAACTCTCTAAAAGCCCGAAGCCGTGCAAGTTGTTCCTACAGGTCATTTGGGGTTTCGGGTATTTGGGGGACCCCAGAAGAGAACATCATGTGGACAATCGTTCAGATCCAAAGCTCTCTAAGCTTCCGCTGGGCTCTGCCACCAGTATGGCCGTGTGATAGCTTGTTGGGAAGCCTGCAGTACTTGTGCCGCTTACGCCCTACAGTAGCTTCGAGCACTGAAATATACAGAATCCAACACCCGACAAGGCAAGCACCATATCCAAAATCCCGCCCTACCGCCTTAACCGTAACATGTGGACTATCAAAGTTTGTAGCCGCTGTCGCAGGCCTAGCAAAGCTCGAAGTTCCAGAGCGCTGGAAGCCTTCAGGCTGAGGCCCGAAGGAAGTCAGTGGGTTTAGGGTTTAGGTTTTAGGGTTTCGATGTTGCCCTTTGGTAGTGCGGTCTTGTTCAAGAAGAGCGTGGTTACCAGCGCCTGCGCCAGGCATCAGCTTCTCCTTGTCCGGCGCTGTCACGGCTGCCTGCGATGCTTTGCCCAAAGACCTGAGGCTAAACAGGAAAGTTGCTGTGTGCTGCGGTTCCTCGGATGATTTGCGAAGCATGCTTGAAGACTACTCTCCACTCTTGCAGGCGTGAAGTCGCAGACCGTGTTAGCAGCCGCCACGCTCCGCAGCATGTCGGAACTTGGAAGCTCGGCTCGAGGTTGCTCAGCCCAGCATTGACCTTTCAGTCCGCGTTCAGCCCTCGGGTGCACTGCGCCAGAGCCGTCGAGGCACGAGGCAGACCGTTCCCACAGCATCCGTATTTTGAGATTCAATCTGACTAAGTTCTTCGTGCACCTGCTTTAGGATCCAGCTCTTTGAGAAGCACAATGCTGAAACAGTTAAGCCGGAGTTCGCAGCTGTAGCTGTTTTCTTCTATTTTTTGCTTGAGCAGAAATCCTGGACAGCCGAAGCTGCGATTGCCGTTGCAGGAGCGAAGCGATGGCTGAAGCCTGCCCCACTCGTTTGGTAGCAGGAAGTCAGTGCTTAGAATCTTGACATCTGGGGCTTCGTCAGCAGAGTGCCAGCTTCGGGCCAGGTGCACGTCTCCCAGGAACTACCCGACGGCACGGGTGCTCGGGTCGGCATGTTCTCAGCTCGCTTCGACGGGAAGGAGACGGAGCAGCTGTTCCGACGCGTGTACAAGCAGCTCAAGGCCCGGAACTACCCTGTCCTAATGGTGGATGCAAAAGCTGGGAAGGATTTCGGAGATTACACGGCGATGTACCTTGGGAAGCTTATTGCCAGCAACGGCGTGATGCTGTCGGTGTGCACTTGGCACTATGCAGAGGTCACGAAGTCCAAGTACTCTTCATTCGAGGAGCTCAAATTTGCACACGGCAACGGCATCGAGATCCTCCCGCTCAGGTTATGCGACTCGTGGCCACCGAAGCCCGAATCTGGCCCAAACCATGCATGCGATAAGGACGGATTGGCGAACGGGTTCCTCAATCTGGCATTCCCACCAAGCAAGATCTTTGTGGACTGCCGCGGCAAGGATGAACACTGGATCGCTGCTCAGATCGCAGAAGCGCTGCATCGCCCCGCAGAGCGTGACAAGAAGGCACGAGTGAGCCGGAAGAGGGATTGGTGTTTCAACTTTGGTTGTTTGTTTGGGGTCTACATTGTGCCAACACATGGCGTTTGACATCTGCTGACTGTCTTTACTCTTTGTCCTTTGACAAACGTTGCGATGCCGATGCTTCGGGCAGCATAAGAAGGGAGACCAATTAAACACCGATCTGTTTCAGTTCCTCCGCCTCTTTATTGCAGTCGTTTGTGTAAGCTTGCAGCGACCGGATCTGCTTCTCCCGAGCTCTCATTTTGCTTTCTCCATGAAGCCCGTTGCGTCTGAGATTCGTAGCTTGATCAGCAGGGTTGGATGCTATCAGCAGTTTCCGGATAATCGGCAACCTCATTACGTCAGCACCAAATCTAGGAATCAAGTGCTCATAAAGTTGCCATAAAGGCAGACAACAGTTCAGCAGGAGCTGGACCAAGTTGTCCTGTGCCAGGACCCGAATGAGGAGGCCAGGGAACGGCTGCTGGATTTGCTCAAGGATGCAGAAGAGGAAGAGGATGGTGTGAAGCTCAAATTGAAGAACGCACCCAGCGATAGCAAACGAATTGTCGTCATTGGAGGCAGCGGGGTTGGGAAAAGCACCTTCTGCGGCATGTTGGATGGCACTCTTCGCAAGGGTGAAGACAAGAAGTGGACGTCGAGCTTCAAACTTGGCCACAGTGCCGACTCACAGACGAATATTCCGGACTTGCGCGTCTGCAATTGGCGTGGGCATAACGGCGACGGCAAGCTGCCGATCGTCATCATGGACACGCCTGGCATGGAAGACACCAGAGGCCCTGCAAAGGATCTGGAGCACATGGCTAAGATCGCCCAATGGATCAACAGCATCGAGTACATCCACTTACTGGTGTTACTCGTGGATTCCTCTGTCAAAATTACCGACAGTCTCCGGCGAGTTCTCGAATTCTTTCAGGAAAGATTCGGGAAGGATATGTGGAAGCACACCATGGTGGCAGTCAACAAATGGCAGTATGACGAGCGCACCATGGACATGCGCGAGGACGGAGACCTTCCCACATGCAAGCAGTTTGAGGAAGAGTTCCGCAGGGTGTTGCAGCTACCAATGCGTCGTGAGGCCAGGGATGGCCATGCCGGTTTGGGTTTGACGGAAGCAGACTGCAACAACATGCTGCGATTTTCCTTCGTCGACACCCTTTACCGCCGTCAGAACGAAACAGAGAGTGATGCTATGGAGAACGAGCTGGCCCAAATGCAGCTGACTCTGCGGTGTCTGCCAAGCTGGAAGGTACGGGTCCAAGCCCAGTCACCAGAGCTGAAGCAAATCATGCATGCTGTGCGCTGCACCAACCTTGCCGAGGAGTTGAAACAGGTTTTGGTTGATGTCACAAAGGTGCGCAAGCTGCCAGAAGACGTGACCGACGAAAAGCTGAAGGCCGTGGAGATGGAGGTCGAACGGAGGTCCGAGTTTGAGAAGGTGCAGCAAGCCCTTGAAGAAGCAGATGCTGCGTTGGGTCGATACCAGCACCGCCAAAACCCAGCGGATCCCCCCTCTGGACCACATCACCCATACAACAGGACAGGAGGGGCCAGCAAGCTCGATCCCCTCTCCGAACCACATCACCCATACGACAAGACAGGCGAGGCCAGCAGGCCCTCCGGACCACATCACCCGTTCGACAAGACAGGAGAGGCCAGCAGGCTCATCGCCCTCGCGATGCCATCAACCAAGTTCTTTTTGGACTGCAGGCAAAAGGATGTGAACGGGATCGCCACCCAGATCGCAGAAGTGCTGCATCGCCCAAGCCATTGAACCGCAAGCAGGCGTGCCGAGATCAGCGTCAGATTTTTCCATCGACTTGTATACATTGCAGATCAGGCATTTGCGAGAAGTCGTCCTTGCAATCCTCCCCCCATGTCGCCCTGGCTCAGGCCCAAGAAGTCGCAGGGATGCCAGCCGGAAGGCACGAAGTTCAGATCCTTGAGCCAATTGGTGGACTCCCGGAAAATTTTCCTTCAGGTGCATGGAGATACTTAAGAAGCCACGGCATAAACCGGCCAGGGGGTGTGCACTGAAACTGCTTCGGTGTACGCAGTTTGCATGCCTCTCCAGGCTCTTGCTTTGGTCTTCCTGCCTGTGCGCCGCCCCTGCACGATACCTGCAAATGCCTGGCTTGCCAAAATCTAGCAGGTTCTGGTCAAGGAACACACCTTCATTGGGAACTGTCGAAAACGTACTGTCCACGGCCTGCGGGCCAACAGAAGTGACAGACAGTAGGCTGCATTCCATGAGAGGTTCTGGGGCTTAGGGTAGGAGATTTCCCACGATGCTGCTGAGGAGCTTGCTGCTGTATGCTACTGTTGAAGCTGCAGCTCTGGTTGCCATAGAGACCGGAAAGTCGGGGTCCTGCACAGGCTCGCAATGATGCCATGAGAGTGAGCGGCCGCCGATGTTCTTCAACGCGAGCGCCTTTCACACAAGCATAGTGTATGGAGTACCAGCTTTCAAAGCAACTCCGGATGCCCACAAAGTGGAGCATCCGTTTTCAATCTGTTTTCCTGTGTCCTCGTAGCATCCAAAGGCGCACCGTCGCAGCCACAAGCTCAATGCGGAGCCTAGGAGATGCTCCACAACGTGGAGCATCCGCTCACAATCTTTTTTCTGCTTGCTCAGTATCCGACAGCGCCCCGTGGCAGCATAATGTCATTTTGGCAATGCAGAGTGTTGGCTCAAGCTGATGATTTTTGCTTGATTCTGTCGTGAGTTGCAAGGGGTGCCGCCAAGCTTAACGTTTCTCTGCCCAGGGCATCTGTCGGCTCAAGCAGCCAGGAATTGAAATCTGCTTGCTCGGGGCCAGCTCTGCTTGCTTTGGGACAGCTCGCTTCTCAGCTGCGACGGCTTCCGTGGTGTTATGTTGGTGGTTCTATGTCCCAGGCATCAGCTTCGTCCGTTGACATAGCAGGCGGTGTGTTCGTCAAGAATGGCGAGTCTAGATCAGCTGTTAAAGATATTTATGGATGTTTATGGTTTGAGACCACCGCGTACCGAAGCGTTCTGCCCGGTGTCATTTGAGGCTGCCGAGGGGAGCGAACCTTTCCGCCAAGGCGGACGCAGGAGCTGCAGGATGAGAAAGCATGCGTGCATACCCTTCTCCCCTCCCCTCCCCTTGCTTCCCCGTTTTTTTGGAGATTCCACCTTAAAGCCGTGCTTGTGTATAGGTATAGCGGTGAGGTAAGATATCGAAGGCAGTCGGAACCGCTTGAAGTCCAGGGCTTGGCCCTGTCAGGAGCCCCTTCGGTCTCCATGGCGCCCTTGCAAGAGACTTTGCTCTTGAGCCTCCAGGGAGAAGCGAAGTGACTCTTCAGCAAGTCTTTTCATGTTGTTTATCTTAGAGGATGAGGTTGATTCGGGCTCTCTTAGCCATCTGTTGGCTTTTGGTCTGGGCAGGGACCATCAATCCGCGACTCGTTTTAAGCTTGGGGTAGGCTATGGGCTCCGTGATTTTGGGATCCTTTTCTCATCTAGTATCATACAGTGCAGTCGAAGTGTAGCCTGCTGCTTTCACAACTTGCGGCAAGACAGCTTCAGTCATGCCCATGCAACCCACTCGTCACACAGGCACTTTTTTGTTGTGATCATACTGTATTTGCAGAAGTATCCTAACAAACAGAAGTGTCTAGTCTAGTGGATGCGGGGCAGTTGGACATACCAGACGGTTCTCTATGAGATTCAGTAGCGGAGAGACCAAAATGAAGTTCCGACGAGTACACAGGCTGCTGAAGGAGCGGGACTACACGGTGGCAATGGCGGATTACATATAAGGAGGTCAGGTTCGCATTCGACAACGACATCGAGATCATCCCGCTGAGGGTTTCTGACGCATACGTGCCAGCGGTGCCAGATCCGGCCTACCAGGTCCCGAACCGAATGGTGGAACTGATTCGCTCGGCTATCCCACGATGGACGGTGTATGCGGACTGCCAAAGACTTCATGAGAGCGAGATCGCCTCCCACATTGCGAAGAGGCGGTGGGGACCTTGAGAGACATGTCCGGATTAGTATGATATTCGGGTCTCGGAACTTCCAGTTTCAGGAGCTTTAGCATACAAGCTACGGGTTAATGCAGTCAGTGGTGAGACAGAGACATCGAGCTCTGTTGAACAAATTTGTAGTCTTGGTTTTATCTCGGTAGCCGGACCATGCTCTGCCCATCTCGAACCAGAAGCTTGCTAAACCGCCAAGGCCAGCACCAGCGAGGGCAAGGAGTTCCAGCAAGAAGGCCGGATGCCTCCGTGATGCCTTTTCAATGCAGTCCGGCTGCCCCTTCATTGCCTGCCGGGATTCCTGCAAGCCATCCCTAAACTCAAAACCCCAAACCCTGAAACCCCAAAACCCTCAACCCTAAACCCCAAAACCCAAGACCCCAAAACCGCCGGCCGCAGGCGGCCTGCAGCCCAATGAGCCGAAGCCTTGAACGAAGTGGGAGGCCGGATTTGACAGCGGGACTCTTGAAGAACCGAGGGATGTGGTCCTAGCTACCCTATATACCCTATATACCCTATTAAGCCTTGGGCTTGTCTTGGCATGTGACTCACGAGCGTGCGTCAGTTTGGTGTTGCCCTAGATATCGGAAAGCATCCGGTCCGCCTGCACAGGCTCGTGCCAATGCCACACGAAGGAGTTGCCGCCTGCGTGCTTGAAGCTGTGTTTTTGAGCTTTCGTAGGGTCATCGTATGCAACAACCAGAGGAGCAGCCTCTAGAGTCCCTAGAGTAGCCATATCTCCACAAAGTGGAGCATCGGCTCTCGTTCCGTTTTCTGCGTGCTCGTGGCACCCTAGAGTACAGAGCCCCACGGCGGTCACAACGCTCGCCATCGGCTTAAGCTGAGCTGTGCACACAGCACAGCTTCGCGGAGCTTAGTCTGCTGTGAATTGCAACATGTTGTGGAGAAATGGGGTCACGGCGGGTCACAGCAGGCGGGAAGGGGTGCAGCTGGGCAAACAGTTGGTGTGGATTGCACCTGAGCCGCCCTCCACATCCCATGCCGACAAGTTTAGGGGAGTGCACGCAGAACCAAATCAGACATTGTGCAAGTGAGTATCCTGAGGAAGTAAGCAAACCAGCGATCTCTTGAAAAAAGCTGAGCCGGACATCCCACCCCCCCGAAAACACCCTCAAACATCCGAAGCAGTATTTTTTTTGTGCGCACTGTTTTTTTTTTTGTTTCTGGTGCGCGCATCATGGCGACGAGGCGCTTCTGTCATCGCGGCTCGGAGCACAGGAGTCCAGCTCCCCTTCTCGATAAAAAGTCAGGTCACCCGTTGTGGGTTTTAGGGTTTAGGGCTTAGGGTTTAGGATCTATGGTCTAGGGTTTAGGGTTTAGGATTTAGGGTATAGGGTTTAGGGTTTGGGGTTGAATGAAATCTCCATTCCGTTAAGGAGAGGGATCTCATGTAGGAGCCCTTGATCAATCTCAGTCCTGACATGACCTCGCTAGCTTCAGCAAATCTCTAGTAAGCTCTGATACGGACGCTCAAGCCTGGGAGGAGAACGTGAAAAACTGCGATAAGACAAGAACGTTCGTTCGAAGTCGAACTGCTGGGGTCTGTACTGTTACATTATACGAGTACAGAGGTCTTTCCTGATAATACTGTTGTATTTTAACAGCCGTGATACACACGACCTAGGATAAAACCCTGCACCCCCGAGGCCAGTAATGTAATGTCATACAATCTAAGAAAAATAATATAATATTGCTGTGAAGACCTGTGCTGTAGAAGCCTGAAATGCTCTGGGTTTTTTTGGTATACCCCACAGTCTTACTCTAGTTAGATGTTAATTATGAAGGCTCCTACCCTAAGCCCTAAACCCTAAACCCTAAACCCTAAACCCCAAACCCTAAACCCTACACCCTAAACCCGAGGCTCGGGCCTGCTGCGCGCCTGAGGCCTGGGAAGGGCCCAAGACTTGGGGCACCCAAAAGGAGGCCTTAGGGGGGGCCTTTAAAGGGATGCATACTCTATAAGGAGGTTTTGGGGTTTAGGGGTCTTTGAGGTTTAGGGTTTAGGGGCCTTGGGGGGGGGGGGCTTTAAAGGGATCTATAATCAATAAGGGTTGCTATAAGGGTACTCTACTGTTTAGGGGGGGGGCCTTTGAAGGGATCTACAATCTATAAGGGTTGCTATAAGGGTACTATAGGGTTTAGGGGGCTGTGAGGTTTAGGGTTTAGGGTTCAGGGTCTTAGGGGTTTGGGTTCAGGGTTTTAGGGTTCAGGGTCTTAGGGGTTTGGGTTCAGGGTTTTAGGGTTCAGGGTCTGGGGTTTAGGGTGGGCTCTTGGAGGAAGGTATCAGAGGCTTTAAGAGGGTTTAGGGGCCCAAGAGGAGGTTGAGAGGGAGTCTCTTGTCTTGACTGTTTGGTTTAGGGTTTAGGGCTTAGGGCTTAGGGTTTACGGGAGGCTGAGAGTGTGGGTAACTTTGTAAGCTCCGGGCTTCACTCTCTGCCAGTCGAGGCCTTGGGGGCTGCGGCCCATGGCTTTGCGAGAGACCCTGCTGTTGAGCCTCAAGGAAGAAACTCGACATGCTCCGTTCATCAAGGCTTTTTTTTGGGTTTAGGGTTTAGGGTTCAGGGTTTGGGGTTTGGGGGCGGGGAGGTTGGTGTTGGCCTTTGGGAACCTGACCAGGCTAAGGGCCGAGTCTTCGAAGCCCGTTAAGGTTTGGTGCAAGGGTCTCTGCCTCTGATTCCTACTACCAGGGTGTAGGGTTGAGGGTTTAGGGTTTAGGGTTTACGGGTTTAGGGTCTATTCCTTTGGGCTCTTGATGATAACCATACGATCATGTACCCCAAAAATCTTATGGACATGCAACTAATTAAGGCCCCCTCATCGAAAGAGACCAGGAAGCGGCCATTGCCGAGTCGACGGAAATCGACCCCAGCTACCATGGGCACATCCGGGATGAGGCCAAAACCCTAAACCCTAAACCCTAAACCCTAAACCCCAACCCTAAACCCATGAGGCCAAAACATGCTGGATCTCCTTCCCGGGGAAGTATGCAGCAGGCCGGAGCGGTCGGGAAATTTCCTTCGGGAGAATACCGGCTGGGACTTCATCGTTCCGGGTTTAATGAAAGAGGTGCCAACCCATATCCGTGAACTAAACTGCGAGAACCGCCCAAACCCTAAACCCTAAACCCTAAACCGTATCAGCCTTCGCAGGCCCTTCTTTAATCCCAGCTTCTTGCTTGAGCCCAGCTGGTAAGAGTCCAACAGCTTGCAACGCAGAGGCTGGGAAGCTCTGGTGAAGGAGCTCCGCACAGAGCCCTGCTATGATTTCGACGGTGTTGAGCAGGGTTCACGGCTTCAGTTTTCTAACAATAGTAGCAGTTATAGTAAACATAATAGTAATAATAGTAGTAACAATGCTGAGAATGTAATAGTAGCAATAGTAACAGCAACAGTACAATACAAAGGCCCAAGATCATCCGCATTATCGTTGTAAAGCCTGCGCCGGGTTTCAAGCGTGCGCGTGCGAGCTCCGTGATCCTCAACACTAGCATCGCCCCAAATGGGTAGTTGTCAAAACTAGGGTCCCTCTTTCGGTATGCCATTGGCTTACGGTTTAGGGTTCAGGTCCTTCTTGAGGAACACCAAATAGTATGGCACACCTAATAAACAGGAGCCGAAAAGGGATCCTAATCTAGATTTACCCAAATGCCAATCTCGAACTCTTCATGGGGGGCTCTGGTTTACCTTTTCAAGCGCCGGGATGAGGTAGTATTAGGGAGACCCCTTAACGGGGACCCTTCCTAACCCTCTGGCTCTCGTAAAAGGGACCTTACTGAGAGAGTCTATATTTCCAAGTGCCCCCCTAGTCCCAAACCCTAAACCCTAAACCCCAAACCCCAAACCCCAAACCCTAAACCCAAAACCCCTACACCCCAAAACCAAAACCCTAAAAACCTAAAGAATCCTATTCGCCGAAGTCCTGGCCCAGACTTACCCTTCAGTCTTCAACTTCGAAAGGTCATGTAGGGTTTAGGGGTTTAGGGGTTCAAGCGTTTTAGGGGTTTAGGGGTTTAGGGGTTTAGGGTTTAGGGGGGGCTTAGGGTTTAAGATTTAGGGGTTTAGGGTTTAGGGTTTAGGCTGAATCTTAGATCCGAGACCCTGAGCCCAAATCTGCTTTAGATCCTGCACTCGAAATCCTTTGGAGCCTTGGGCCTCCGACCAAAGGCTGTTCTCATCTTGAGTTAGAGTCCCTCTACGGTTTAAGGTTTAGGGTTTAGGGTTTAGGGAATGGTATAATATACCCTTATAAAGCCTATTCTCATGATCTGAAATCCTTCCGGCAGGAGTTTCACCTTGATTCCGTGGCCTGTGTCTTCCTCTGCTCCCCAGCGGACGGCACCGACCTTAGATCAGGTTTCACCAACATAGAATGTGAATGTATACGTGTGCAGATCTGTAAGATCACCTGTGTAAACTTATAGCCTTATGGTCATACAGGTGTATAGGCATGAACAGCGATTCTAGACCACATACCTTATGTATATTCTCAGCTCTACATATACCGCCGTGCATACCGACTTACTTACCTTCCTGCCTGCCTGCCTCCCTCCTAGAAGCAGCTAAAGGGCGTCGCGACTGTGGTGTCTATAGCATGACTATAATATCAATATAGTATTAATGATTACTCTCCTGGTGCTACAGTGCTTGGCAACCGACCTGGCGCGCTAGACGGCGTTCGCAAGTCTCGGCCTAACCATGAACAGAGCACGAGCGGCCGAGCTTTTGGCAACAATGCATTACTGTTCAGAGATACCTTCTCTAGGGACTGTATAGAAACGTCTGGACTTCTGGTCCAGGCTTCTCATGCATATCTCAACTCGTTCTGACCCCGAGGCCTGGGAAAGCACGCGGATGATCCCAAAAATCCGGGGAAGTGCTACTGTGCAAGAATATATGGCGAGCGAGACTTCAGGGCGTTCGGCTACCTCTCAGTCCTGAAGGCACCGTACACGGACGACAGGATCAAGAAGCACTGGGAGAAAGCCGCTGCAATGAACGCGGTCCCCATCCGTCAAGATGCAACCGATGAAGAGAAGGAAGAAGCCACGAAGAGAGCTGAAGAGCAATGGGAGAAGATGGGCCGCACGGCCTCCTGGGGATGTGCCTGGTACAAACGCTGGTTCGACCTCGCATGCACGGCTGTAGAGAAGAAGCAGCGGCTGAAGGCAGTCTTCTTTCCCCGCCAGGTGGGAAGAGCACGACCGAAAATGCCACTCCGAATCAGCCTTCCCTCAACGGCACGCCGTTCTGTAGGCCTCTGCACTCGGGACAGGTGGGCTACGGCATCCCGAGCATGGAGGACCTCTCCGACCTTGAGGTGGACCTCTGGGACGGGGATCCCCGGCCCGACTTTTCGGATTCGGAGCCTTGGGGGCTGTGCTTCTTGTAGGGTTCCAGGGCACTGCGCACTGCAACCCATGAATTAGGAATCTGACCAGGGCAGCGACATGAGGTAGTTATGCGAGGCCGGAAGAAGTTGGCCAGATGCCTGAAGGTGGAGTAGGGACGAGCCAGCATAGTCTTTCCAAGCAAGAAGCTGTAGTTTTCCAACTTCAGCTGCGCTGGACCCTTTTGCGGCGCACGTCGGCATACCACCGGAACAGCCGAGGTTGGATGTGGCGGCTCGCAGAAGTCTGAGCTGGCAACGGCGAACCTCATGCAGAAACAAAGTCCGGGATGGGACTACGAGGAGGTGGATGTCACAGCATTTCTCAAGGATCAGTTTCCGCCGGGCGCCCAAGTGGATGCTTTGCATGAGACCGAAGCTGACTCCAGATGGCGCAAGGGCATCGTGGTGAAACAGATGGAAAAAGTGACAAAAACCGAGTCCGGTGAGGAGTCCACGGAGTTTTTCTGGCAGATCAAGTCTGACGACGACTCTGGTGACCCTCGGATGCCTTTTGGAAGTGAGTTCTGTCGGTTGTTGTAGCGGAGGGATCGGCTGGAAGAGTTGTGGTGGTCCCGAGAACGACGAAGGAAATGTTTGAGGCCAGCCAAGTCCGACATCTCAACGTGGCGGTTGAGCAGCTGCTGCACCGTTGGGGTGTCGGCCTGAGATGATGCATTTTGTTTCAGTTACTATCACGAAGCCTGCATCCAGAACCCCCGTCTCAAGCCCACAACTGGTGTGGCCCAAATACTTGCAGATGCGTTTTAGGGTTTAGGGTTCCCCTAAACCCTAAACCCCAAACCTGCACACTTCGCCCGTTGTCATGTCAGTATCATGCTGCTCACTGCAAGTCAGTGCCGGGCAGTCAGGGGTGGACACGTTGAGCTTTGGGCGGGGTTATGCCAGTTGTGCAACGTGGGCCCCTAAACCCTAAACCCTTCACCCTAAACCCTTCACCCTAAACCCTAAACCCTAAACCCTAAACCGTCTAAGGGGACATCCTGGAGCCTGCTTTGCGCCAATGCCTCACGGACGTAGAACTGCGTCCTCCCACCGCCTGCCGCCTCCGCAGCGGTACCCCGGCGCTGAGCATCGGCATTCAGATTCCCCACATCGAGGCGCTCCTGGTGCTGAGAGATCCTGGGTTGCTGTTAAGGACATTAGTTTAAGCTACTATAATCAGAAAGCCTTATTATTTGCTATATATCCCCATGATGGTAACGTAGCTTAAGTTACCATAACATGGAGACCCCATTCTTTACTACAGATCCCATGAGGGTAACTTCAGTCATGTTCCTTATAACCCTAAACCCTGAACCCTAAACCCTAAACCGCAACCCCAAACCCAAAACCCTAAACCCTAAACCCCAGGATCGCGTCTTGAGCGGCGACTTCGATCGGAGCGTCAACGAAGGCCTCGGGAGCCGGGCTCCCGAGCTTCTGTTCAAATGGATTCATTGTCTCCCGTTGTGTGGTTGAAGGGTTTAGGGTTTCGGGTTTTAGGGTGTGGGTTTAGGGCTTAGGGTCTGGGGTCTAGGGTTTGGGATTTAGGGGTTGGAGTTTCTCTTTGGGTCCCAGTGATAAACGAGAGCGTGCCCGGAAGATATCTGCCGTAGGCAGCCAGAGCTCAGGAGTTCAAGGTGAAGTTTGACAAGAGCCGGCTATTCGAGCTCTACGAGGATAGCCTCCTGGGGTTGAAGGAGTTGACGGAGCATCAGCAGGTGGAGCGCACCGGTAGTCTGGACTCTTCTAATTAAGCAACCCCGGGCATGATCATAAGAAGGATCCTACGAAGTAGGGAAGAGTCAGGTGGTGACAGCAAAAGGCTTAATTAATCGGGGTCTGCATCACGGTTGGATCTGGAAGCAAACAGCAGCTGGTTAGTTCCCAGACAACTTTGCAAAGCGCGATCCAGGTGAAGCTGAAAGAGATGGAGGGCCTCGACGACGTTCATCTCTCTGCCCCGGCGGGTGCGGAAAGACCTTCGTTGCGGTGCAGCACGTGCTCGAGCATCTCAACACCCATCCCTCAGCCCGGCTTCTCTATGTCGCTCCATCCGAAAGCCTCGGCCTCCACTTCATTCGCTGGCTCTCCATGCGACTTGCGTCACGAACTTCGGCACAAAAACAATGACAACAGAGGGTTCCTCAATGTGAGGGCTTTTGTTGAGCCCTGGAAGACAGCCTAGGAAAGAATCACAGCGAGCCAGAGCTGGTGCAAAGCAGGATCCAGCAGATGCTTTCCAGAATCACTCTGTTGCACAGCCCCTACAAACACTTCCAGCTGCCCTCTCTGGAGGGTGATCGCATACTCCGATGTGTGGCCGGACCCGAAGCGGAAAAGTGTGACATGGTGGTCTACGATGAAAGCCACCACATCTTCTGTCTTCCGCCGGAAGTCGCCTGGCGATCCACCAGGGTATGTTTGCTGTCTTCGCATTTGTTGTTAGGAGTTCTGGCTTCTAGAATCTAGAAGCTATCGGGATGCATGCAACGCTCAGGAAATGAGCTCGACACTACTCCCAAGCCTATCGGCAGAACGCCGGCTGCTTCTGTCAGATGAGTCGCAGTCTGCTTCGGTGAGCCAGACCTTCGGACGGTATCAAGAGCCCCCAAACCCTAAATCCTACATAGCCCTGAGCCGGAAACCTTCGGCTATGGCAGGCAGAGGTGAAGAGATTTATGCCATGACCCCGGCAAAAAAGTGATGCATTCCTGGTGGATTCCACCACCACTGCCACCACCGAACTAAGGACCTATCCCGACATGGCCAGGGTGAAACTGTCGCAGGTGGTCCGCAGCACTAAGCGCATTGTTGCAGGTGCAGCCACGTTCCCTGCCTGAATAGGTACTGTGCTTCTAACCGGTCTGTTTTGTTGTGCGAGCCCGCAAGATCAGACAGTGCCTGTTTTTTTCCAGTGAATTTCTGCATCCAAGGTTTCAGCTGAACACGCAGCGAGATGCCGCAGCGAGCTCCCTGGGCTCGGACGGACCGCCATTGAAGACCTTCCTCTTCGACCCAGCAGCTCAGCCGTTCTTGCAGTATCTTGGAATCCTGGTTGGTTTTCGTGGTGGGAGCCTACCACCTCACTAGCGACACATCTGGTGTAGCGGTACAGGATTTAATGGCCACCAAGGTCGGACAGGACTCTCTCAAGGTGTATGCGGAGCATATCATCAAAGCACTGTGGCATGTTTCAAAGAATCTCGGAATTCAATCAGCGTCTTGTATTCAAGCTTTTGTCTGTGTCCCGAGTTGAGTCTCGAAAGGTCTATGTTTTGTGTTGGCCTACTCCAGATCCAAGGACGTTCCCAGATGTCAGCTTGCATGGGCGTGTCGCCCTCCTCGTTCCACACTCCGACGTCTGCAAGAAGATAAAGCCTGTCTTGCAGAAAGACTTGCAACTGGGCTGCGTGAGGAAGCATTGCCATAAAGTTACGTTCGCCCATGGCTTGGTTGCATAAGTCGTCTTGTCCCGACACGCGAAGTAGTGGTTGTTGGTCAAGACAGCTCGTATCCCGGCCTAAGTTTCAAACAGTAAGCGCCGAGACCTTTCATTTGTCATTCCAGCCCTCCGTATTTGTGTATATACTGTACACAGATGAAGAAATATGGCATATTTCGCTACATATATATATATATGTATAATATGTATAAATATGTATAAATATGTATAAATATGTATAAATATGTATAAATATGTATAAATATGTATTTGGTGTGTATTTATATATGTATGTATACACATACACATGCATGCACACGCGCATACCTACATAGATACATACATACATACATACATACATACATACATACATACATACATACATATATATATATATATACACACACACACATTTGAACGAAGCGGCGCCCAGGAGCCGGGAGTTCCCACATCGCTCCCTGCGCCTCGTGAGCTTCGAGGAATCCCTGAGATGCTTGCCGGAGCGCCTGCTCGGCCGAAGCAAGCAGGCGGGGGTTTCGGGTTGGGGATTTGGGGGCTTCGGGGTTTAGGATTTAGGGTTCAGGGTTGGGGGTGTGTGTATGCAGTGTGCGTGCGGTGGGTGCGCTTTTTTTGGAATGGGGGCGCAGCCACTTCCCGGGCGCTTCTGTTAGATTCTGTTAGCATGTAGTCCTGCCCCAACCACCCCAACTGTTCTCAATTAGGGTTTAAGGTTCACCCCCACAAACCCCCCTCAAGGCTTTCTTGCTCTCTGCTTCCCTTCGCATTTCTACATAAAACGACCACATTTCACCGCAAACCGCAGCTGAGATTGGTGTCTGGTTGTAGGTCCTCGCGCCCTTTGCCGGCCAACCCGTTCTTCGTGCCCTGTGAGGGTCGCTCGACGTGTCAACATCTACCCAATCTACCCTGAAAGGTTGCGTCTCAGAATACGTCGGAGCAGTATTCCCCCAGTCCCTGTTTTTCATGGTCCCTCTTACCCTCAAAACCCAATCCTCGGTATTAAGGCATAATATTGTCTTAAACCCTACACCCTAATAAACCCTTACTACAGCTTCAAGACCTGTTTGGGGATCGCGGTTTTTCTCTGGTACCTGAGGACCGCAGGACTTTGAATGTGGTCTATGTTTAAGGCCGCTTTTTGTTGTTGTCTTTTTTGGCTTTTTGTGTCGGTTTGCTTGCTGCTTCCTCGTCGATTTTGCTTTCCGCATTTCGCCTTCAGCGTTCTTTTGCTTCCTGTTTATTTTTTTTACTTTCCTTGCTTCCCGTTTGCTGCCTTTGCTGATTGCTTTCCTGTTCTTCTTGCAGCTTTCTGTGTTTGCCCCCAAGCCCACCACCTTTTCGCAGCCTTGGCGATGTGTTGCGATGCTCAGATGAATCGGTGGAAATAACCGGTTTTGCTTCCACCATTTTGAAATCAGCGCCATCAAAGTCGTTCCCCCCATGTACTGGCGGGATTTCGAGGCAGCGCGGACAAGCACGAGAGGCCGCATAGTGTGGCCTTGCCAGGACTATAGCCATTTCCAGCGTCGCGAAAACATACGTGCATGAGGCCAAGCCTAGTAGCCATGTCGATGAATTCGGCCTGCCCGGCGAGAGCGGCCGGCATGGGACTATGGACATATCATCATATCAGGGTTATTAGGCAACACCGAGGCTGAAGCACATAATCCTAAATTAATTCTCAAACCTTTGAGTTTTGGGATTTACGCTCGGCGGTTGAGAACCTAAGCTGTCAGGATTTGGGGCGGAGGGTTCAGGAGACATTGATGAGTGCAGGCTCAGCAGGAGAATATTGTCCTCGATACGGTGGAGAATGCAGATGGCTTGGAGCAGCTTGTGGTCNNGAAGACTTACAGACACGCTCACGGCTGTACAGAGGTTTAACCCGAGCGCAACTCTTGGCTATCATCGTCAATGCAAGGGTGAAAGGAGGTTGGCTGGAATTTTTGGGCATGGTGAAATTCTCTGAATCTGCTGATGAATGCCTTGAAGACAAGGAGTCTGTCCAGAACATCCAAGCAGCCGCGGCCAAAGCGCATGAAGAAGCTTTGCAGATCGTCGAGGCCCCAAATGCTAGCAGTGCCGACGTCGACAAGAGTGCTCAATCGGATGACAGCACACTGAAGCTGATGCACGAGAAGCTGATGCACGAGACCTCGACTGTGTTTGGGGGTGCATTCAGCAGCGAGAGACAGCTTTTTGGTGTAGGTCCACTTAAACCTTCTCACCAGCTCTCTAAGGAGGAACCCGACGAATAACAGGAAGCTTGCTTACTGTGATTTTTCCGACTGGGCATTGAGATTTCCCTGTGGTTGCAAGCCGTCACCATGGCAACTCAGGTCTGGGATACCAGTGGCAACACCATGTCAAAGCCCGACAGTTTGCTCTTCAACCCGTTTTTCTCGGCAGACAAGGTGTGCCTGTATCCATGGACTCCTAAACTTCTACACACCCTAAACCCGAAACCCGAAA